CAGGAGGCCACTAGAGGAAGAGCAGATACTGGGCTGAATGAAGACTGAGACAGAAGGACAAGAGAAGAGAGTGGATTTGAGAGAACATTCTGAGAAGTGGCAGAGCTCAGTGAGTGGAGATGGTTGGGGAGAAAAAGGAGTAGAGGATGGTGGCTGGTTTCTGGACTTGTGACCAAGTGTTTAAGCTATCAAGTGAGATGTTCTTCCTCTGTCCTGCATGGAGTGAGAGGTTCTCCCTCTGTCCTGTGTGGAATGAATGGTAATTGTTTGTTGCTCTCTCAGCACCAAACCCTTGGTGCACACATCATCACAGGGTCAGCCTCCAACCTGGCCTCTAAGCCTCCAGCTTCCTCCTGCTCTACCCAACCCCTGGCAGACTAAGGCATCTGAATGGGAGATCTGAGGAGGTCACCCCTTGCTGGAAACTTTTCAAAGGTCCCTATTGCCAGGCAAATAAAGTCAGCTGCACCTGACTCCTGTCTGTTTCCCTTGTGTAAGTCTAGTGACCCTCTCCACCAGTCATGGTGGATAATAACAGTAACAACAACCACTAGTTACCCAGCACTAGAATGTGTGGGCAGGGCTCTAGGAACTTTACACATTAGCTCTTATGGTTCTTAGAAAAACACCCAAGTCCTGCCCTTAGCAGGATAGACCAGGTCTTCAGACCTTTGTACTCTCAGTATCCTCAACCTATCGCAGCTGATCTTCCAGCCATCTGACACCTATCAATTATCAACTCCTGCCAGGCACTACACTAAATGCTGGAGGTCCAAAGATGAGTGAGACATGGGATGTATCTGTGTATACAAAGTCTAGTGAGGGAAACAGTCACAAAGGAACAAGGATAATTCAACAAGGTAAGGGGCAGTGACAGGAATGTTATAGGGGCCCAGAGAACAAGCTCCTAATTCAGCCTGGGTCCTTTTCCACTTGGCATCTAGAGCTGCACTCCTTCTAGGAAACCCTTCTGATTTGTCCAGGCTGGGTGAGCACAAATATCACACTCTGCCGACATCACATGCTAACGAACATATGGGGGAGTGTCTGCTTGGCTGCCTCTTCCTGAGTGCAGCAGAAGGCAGAGGACTGTGTGACTCCTAATTAGGATTCAGTCTCCAGTCTCCAGGCTGCCTGACATACTTCCTTAGCCTTTTCAGAATCAAAAAGAAGTGAAGAATCACAATGAAGGGTGTTCCTCACCAGGCAGGCCTGCAATGCTGTCTTACCTGAGCCCACTCACACAGGCGAGGCTGGGCTACTACTCTCAGCCCTGCTGCAGGAACAGTCTGGCAGAAGAAGCCTCACCACAGTGGGCTCCCAGATGGCCCCCACCCGGTTTGTAGCTGCCTGCCTCGGGCTCTTGAGGAATGAGCGGTGAGCAGGTCCAGTTAAGGGAGTAAGAAAGAGAAAGCTTTGCAGGGAGCCTTTAAGGTCCCCTGGATGGCCAGAGATGTTGTGGGTGTCTAGGAATTCCTGTGGCTTCCGAAACCCTGTTGCCGCCTTTGGGCTATGGGATCCCTGGATGCTTTGGGATGTTCTACAACTAGAGGGTTTTTTTGGGGAATATTCCAGCAAGGCTTAAGGGGTCTGGGGACAGTTCAAGTTGGTCTCTTGGATCTTCATTGGGTTAACAAAGCTCTTTCTCTCCAGAGCTCAAGGGGCAATCATGGGGCACTTCCAGAGGACCTGAAATGTCTTTCAACCCCAGTCTTCTTTCCTAGGCAGCCTACTTGGTAAACTCTGGCCCCACTCTTGCTCCTTGCCTCCAAGTCTATCTGGGCTAGTGGTGCCTCTGCAGAGCTGGGGCAGGAGGCAGGGGGTCTTGGAGACTGGTGCAAACAGCTTTGGACAAGGGTGGGAATTTCCACTCCTATCTAGAGAGCCATCAATGCTGTGTGCCCTGACCTGGGCCTTTGGCCTCAAAAGGGCAGTGCGAAGGCCGGCCCCAGGGCCAATCCCTGGCCATTAATCCCTCCTGCCAGCCCAAATATCCACCCAGTATGGTCAGACAAAGGACTGCCCAGCCCAGCCACTGTGTTCCTCCCGCCCCAGGGGCTCCACTCAGACGCTGGGCCGCCTGGAATCCAGGCCCATGAGAAAGGGGCTGCCTTCACTGGCCATCTTATGCCCGGATGCTCAGCCGCATCACGTCTGGCCCAGGGCCTGTGAAAAGAGGGCCCAGCCACGCTGAAAACATGGATTAGCCCTTGGGCTGCCCCCTGACACTGGCTTGCGTGGCTCTGGGAAGCAGTCCCAATGGAGGGGGCAGACAGACATAAAGAACTCGAAATGTCTGGGTTCTTACCCTTTTGGCCCAGCAACCTCCTCAGGATTAGCATAGCCAGCCACACATTCAAGATCATTTATTGGACATATGCTACATCTCAAGCTGTATACATGGATTGGGAAATTGAAAGTACAAGAAAAGTGCAGTCAGTTATGGGAGGTAGTAAGATGAAATTCCCCCCAAACTTCCTCACTTCTTAGAGGTGCGGGCCCTTCTCTCTGGTGAACTGCCTGGTGTGATTGCCCTGTCCTGTGTTCTCGAGCAGCAGAATACAAGGTGGAAAGGGTAGCAGGTGTATCGAGACAGGGCCTGTTGAGCATAAGCCCAGCTGATTCTGTATTGTTGTGAGTAGGGCATTGTCTCTAGATCCACAAGTGTCATCTCTTTCATCTCTGCTCTCACAGCCCCCACCCCCTACCTCTCTGCTTGGAATGTGCATCTTTCCATCAGATTGTGTCTCATCCTCTCCGTATTGCCCTGAGTGTTCTCAAAGTGCCTGGTCCAGAATCACTGGGTGAGTGATGCAGGCTGAACTAAGCCCAGGAGAGCTCATGAACGGGTGGATGTGGGGATCCACAAGGCACTGACAGGACTTGACAGTGGTCTAGACACAGGAACTGAGGCAGGAGGAGAAGGGGGCATCCATTTGATGAGATCTGGAATGCTGGTAGGAGAGCAGTCTGGAGTTAGAGGGTTAGGGGAGAGCAGCATTTTATTTAGGATATCTGGGTTTGAGATGCCATGAGATGGTGGTGATGTCCAAATGGGTATGACCTGCTGACCAGGAGGTCAGGAGAGAGGCCAGGAATCAGCTTTGGTACCTGAAGTTAAAAGAACTCTAGAATAATTTATTTTTAAAGTCTCTACTGTATTTATTTATACTTATTTTGTTTTTGAGACAGGGCCTCATTATGTAGCTCAGGCTGGCCAGAAACTCAAATATAGTCCAGGCAGGCCTCAAATTCGTAATCCTCCTGCCTCTGCCTCCTAAGTGCTAGGATTATAGGTGTGTACCACTATACCCACTAAAGCCTCCACTGTAAAGGATGGTGTTAAAAGAATGGTGGTGCCAGTGCTCAGACATCTGAGTTTAAGTCTGTCACTATCAGCTATGTGATGTTAGATAAACCACTTAGCCTCTCAGAGTGTGTCTTCCTACTAAGGAAGTAAGGATAATAACTCCTCACGGGGTGTTCAAACTTCAGTGAAATAATGTTTTTAAATGTTTACCAAATACAAAATGCTCATAATGGTGGCTGGGATGTTACCAACTATAACCAGAGCTGAGGGAGGGGCCTTCGTACTCTGGGGCTTGAGTTTGGGTTCTGATACTGTAGGTCACAGGCTCTCTTTGCTCATCTGTAGGGGGTGTAAAGCACACCTCATCAAAGTTGGACTCTGGGAACAAAATTCCAAATTTTAGTAGGTCCTGGCTCTCAAGGGCTGATCATGCACCTGCAAGCCCCAGAGAGTGTGTGCTCCTTAAAGTTTGCACCAAAGGACCCTCACTTACATCTCTATACTCCCAGCCCTTCTCCATGTCCAGGTTTCTTAATTTTGCCTGTCTTCAGGCTTTAACATAGCCTCCATCACTCTTTGGTTCTCTCTGGATCATGTTGGTGGGTGATATTTCCTACTGAATTTTTAACGAAAATTGCCTAGACTCCCTACCCCGAATGAGATGAGGGCATGGTGTTTCTGACTTCGCAGAGCTGTGTTTGTGTTTCTTTCTTTCTTTTCTTCCTTCCTTCCTCCCTTCCTCCCTCCCTTCTCTGAAAAACAGCATAATGGAATATTATGAGCCAAAATGAATGTTTCTCCAAATTGAAAACGGTAATAGATGGGGAGTAGTTCTATGAAATGCAGACTCAATGTCCTCCCCTCCTTTTTTCTTTTCTTTTTCTTGGGGGAGGGGAAGAAACAAAGGTAGTGTGGAGACTAGCAGCCAGAAGGGCAACTCCAAGTTGTGGGTTTTGGGGGGACTCCTGATTTAAAGCAATTAGATCACTTTTTACCACTTTGCTTTTTCAAAGAAGACTCACAAAGTCTGGAGTGAGGACTGAACAGGGATGTGAGGAAGGTAAGCAGAGGGAGGGGATGGTGACTTCAAAAATCTTCCCCTGAGACAAAGCCAGTCTGGCTCTGCCCCTGCCCTTCTTCCTTACCTTGGTTCTGGTTCTCCACTATCCAATGGCAGCCTGATGCCTCCCTGACCAGCCACCTACTGTGCTAAGGGTTGGCAAGATGAGGGAGGAGTGGGGGATGGAAGGGCGGGAGGAGGATGAGGGGTCCTACTACTGGGAGGAGCAAAATGGGGAAAGGGTCAGAGAGTGTGCTGAGTGGGTGGATTTGTAATTGGGATTGACCCAAAGAGGAGGGGGTTGAGGGAGGGGCAGAAAGGCAAGGGGCAGATCAAATACTGCAGAATGGGGCCAAGGGGCTCCACTGGGGACTGACCCAGTGGAGATGGGAAGGGAAAAGGCAGGGTCTGGGAAAAACTGACCCAAAGGGATGAGACCTAGGGAGGGGCGAAATAGAGGGGGGCCCCAGGAAGGGGGCTGGGAAAGCAAATGAGAGAGGAGGTGTTGGCCTGCCAGGAAGGTCTGAGTCCTCTCCCCTGGAGGTGTGTGTGTGTGTGGGGGTGTCCATATAAGGCGGGTACGAGGCCCCCCGCTCTTTCCGAACCTAGGGCAAGGGCTGCTGCATCCCAATGACAGGGCGCAGCGACATGGATCCGCCCGCCGCCTTCTCCGGCTTCCCGGCGCTGCCCTCGCTAGCGCCGTCGGGGCCGCCGCCGTCGCCGCTCGTGGGAGCCGAGCCAGGGCGGGAACCCGAGGAAGTGGTGGCGGCGGGAGGCGGGGAGGCGGACCCCAGCCCCACGCCGGGCCCGGGGAGGCGGCGGCGACGGCCCCTGCAGCGCGGAAAGCCGCCCTACTCATACATCGCGCTCATCGCCATGGCCCTGGCGCACGCCCCGGGCCGCCGCCTCACCCTGGCCGCCATCTACCGCTTCATCACCGAGCGCTTCGCCTTCTACCGCGACAGCCCGCGCAAGTGGCAGAACAGCATCCGCCACAACCTCACGCTCAACGACTGCTTCGTCAAGGTGCCCCGTGAGCCGGGCAACCCGGGCAAGGGCAACTACTGGACGCTGGACCCCGCGGCCGCAGACATGTTCGACAACGGCAGCTTTCTGCGGCGCCGTAAGCGCTTCAAGCGCGCCGAGCTGCCCGCGCACGCGGCCGCGCCGCCGGGGCCCCCGCTGCCCTTCCCCTACGCGCCCTACGCGCCCGCGCCCGGGCCCGCGCTGCTCGCGCCGCCGCCCGCCGCCTCAGGCCCCGCGCCGCCCGCGCGCCTCTTCGGCGTGGACAGCTTGGTGAGCCTGCAGCCCGAGCTGGCGGGGCTGGGCGCCCCCGAGCCGCCCTGCTGCGCGGCGCCCGACGCCGCCGCCTTCCCGCCCTGTGCGGCCGCCGCCTCGCCGCAGCTCTACTCGCAGGCTCCAGAACGCCTAGGGCTGCCCCCGACGCGCCCCGGGCCGCTGCCCGCCGAGCCCCTCCTGGCCTTGGCCGGGCAGGCCAGCGTGCTAGGGCCACTCAGCCCCGGGGAGGCCTACCTGCGGCAGCCTGGCTTCACGCCCGGGCTGGAGCGCTACCTGTGACCTTTTCCCCACATCCAGCTGCACCTGTGGGTCCCTGTCCCCCAGGAAGGAGGCGCGACTCCTGAGCGCCCCATCTCTGTCGCTCCATGCCCAGCTCGGGACTCTTCTCTGAGTTCCCCATATCTGCCTCCTGAACTGAGCACACCTGCTAAATCCTTCATTGCCCACCATCGGTGAGGAAAGAGACGCTCCCTTCTCGCCACCGGACTGAAGCGTCCCTTCCAATTTGTGAGCCCTTCATTTCTTCTGCATTCACTTGTGAACCCCATCTTTACCTCCCCCAATACTGTCTGTGGTACCATGTCCGGAAGCTGTACCACACCAGTAAGCCCCTCACCTAGGTGTCCTGGTAGTTCCGGTCTTGGGAAGCTTGGAGAAAGTCACCTCCTCAGCAGACTACTTGGTCAACCTGTCTTGTTTTGCCAACACAGTGGAGGTCAGACGCCTGGGTTTGTTGCTTCCTCACCATCTTCCTTTATTTCCCCACAAGTTTGCCTCCCCTCCCCACTTACCTGTCTGCCCTCAGTTTCTTACTGAGAGAGAGCTCCCCTCCCACACAGACATAGCTGGCTGCCCTGTTCCAGCCCTTGAAGACATTTTCTTAGAGATTTCTGAGACAGGCAGCACCAGGAGCTCTTGACTGAAAGGGGAATGAGTGGACCTCTATGTCTGCCAGACTCCCTGGAAAGTACAGGACTTTTTCGGTTATTATTTTTCAATGGAAGCTGGTTTAATTAAAAAGAAAGAAACCTTTCTCTGGGTTTGGTGTGCTGGCTGGTAACTTGGGGAGTGGGTGGGGAGGACCGGAGGTGGGTGAGCGTTGCATCATGGGATGCCACATGGGGCGAGCCCTCTTGTGGGTCATGAGGCAGAGTTTCATGAAATGGGATCAGGTAGTATTTTATTCATAGCTGTGCACATAAGCCTAGTCAAATGGTGTCACCCATGTCTCAGAACCTGGTAGAGATGACATGGGGGTGTGCCTATGTGTGAGTGCATTTGTGCAGTGGGTTGCCTGCTATTTGGGGTCATTGCCAGCTCTCATGGATAAGGTGGTCGATACACTCCCCCAAGTACTTATGGACACATCATTGAATGATGGGCAAAATCCTTGCCTCGTGGAGTTTACAGATCAGTGGGGAAAGATATTAATGTAGTCATCACTGCTCAGAGAAGTGAGGTAAGTGCACGAGAGCCTTGTTATCAAAATGTGGTCCACAGACCTCCAACATCACCCGGAAGCTTGTTAGAAATGTAGGATTTCAGGTCAGGCCTCACTTCAAACCCACTGAATCATCAGCTTCTTCATTTCAACAAAACTAGATGGTTAGTGTACATACTATGCTGAAGGAATATGCTGGACCCTGCTGGGGGCTCAGTCTAAAAAATTAAAGCCCCCAGCCAGGTGTGGTGGTTCATGCCTGCAATCCCAGTTACTTGGGAGGTGGAGGTGGATAGAGAATATGAGGCCAGTCCAGGCAAAGGTAGCTGGAGACCTTGCCTCAAAAACAATAAAAATAAAAAGGCTGGGGGTGTGGCTTAAGTGGCAAAGCACTTGCCTAGCATGCAGAAGGCTCTAGGTTCAATCCCAGTACCACAGGGAAAACAATTGTAAAGCTCCTTACCATAAGGAGTGAGACCAAGTCACAGGTCACACCTCCCCCTCTGAACTTCTGGAGCTAGACCTTACACTGTCAGCTATGCTTCCTACTTTGTCATCCCTACTGTATTGTAAAATGGGGCAGCAGTGACCTGAGCTGATTCATCACTGTCCCCAGCACCAAGGCCAGGGCAGCACTGAGCAGAGACTCAGAGGGGAAAATATGAGGGAATTGGGCTTTGACCCTGTCCTGCTCTCTGGTGCTGACCCAAACACCAAGCATCAGTATTTTCCCAGTTTCCTGCTCCAGGGCTCCCAGTCTAATTGAGCCTGAATTAGGGGGTGAGAAAGGGCAGAGGAGGGGATCGGTGTGTCTCAAGCTCAGAATGAATGTGATTTATTTGTTGCATGTGCTGGATGCACCTTTCCTGGAAGTGAAGGGTAAGGGTGGACAGCCAGCAGCTCACAGAGCAGAATGGTGGAGGGAACCTGAATAGGCAGAAGGCCCTCTTTGAAAGCAGGCCAGTAGGTATGCACAGGATGATAGAAAGGGGCCCTGGATAGACCCCTTCTCCCAGCTATTAACAGCTTTGAGCAAGGGGCAGATCCAATTTGCGTGATGCATAGCAGCCCTTCACTTAATATTTGTTGACTGAACAAATGAATCCTCAGTGCCTTGCCTGACTTACTGAATGACTAAATGGCCTGTAATTTGGCACCTTCTTATCCATTCTTACTTGTAATCCTTGCAGTGGCTTATAGAAAAAGGTGAAAGAGGAGGAGTGGAGGCAATTTTCCCACTCCTTAGTTGAGGAAACTGGCCCTCTCCTGGGCCCACCTGGCAGTGAAAAATCCAACTCAGGGTTCTCTAAGAAGCAGAGCAAAATGCAAACTTCCTTCTATTTCAAATGGTGTTACAGTGGACTTTCCTGCCTCAGACCACCTGCTGATAAATACCTCCTTATTCAAGAAATTTCCAGCTGGCCCTGGTGGCTCATGACTATAATGCTAGCTACTCAGGAGGCAGAGATCAGGAAGATGAGTTCAAAGCCAGCCCAGGCAAATAATTCGTGAGACCCTGTTTTGGAAACAAACAAACAAAAAACAAAAAAACCAAAACCATCACAAAAAAAGGGCTGGTGGAGTGGCTCAAGGTGTAAGCCCCGAGTTCAAATTCCAATACTAAAAAAAAGAAAAAGAAAAATTTCCAGAGAAGGGAAGCAAGCACCCTCTCACTACCCTAAAGTCAGAAAATGTTTCCTGAGATCTGAATTCCATTGTTGCCACTTGGCAGGTTTCAGTCCCAGGATCTTAGAGCACTCAGAGACAGGGGTGGGAAATATCTGGAGGGAAATTCTAGGAAGGTCACTACTGAGCTGGAAAATCAGAAACACTTTAATGTTTTATTTATTTTTTTGACTTTTATGTTTTAAATGTTTCCTTTATTTTCCTTTACTTAACAGCATCAAGGGTTTGCTGTGTGCCAGGCTCTGTGCCCAATAGAGATATAAATAAGAAACATTCCTTATGTTCTCAGAGAGTTCACAGTCATAGAGCACCCTAAGAATTTTGACACTTTGACAGATGTTGAAAAAACAAAACAGAAATGTAATTCAACTCTGTCTTTAAAAAGTACCATACTTTCTTTGTAGAAGTGATTTCAATACTCCTCCTTTTGGGGAAGAAAACAGTCTAAATGAAACCTTCAGAAATATTAAGAAGATACTTGTCCCTTCAGTCTTACAGAACATTAGACACCATTTTATCTGAAGACACATTTAAAATGCTTAATTATTTTATTAATCTACTTATTTTTACAGTGCTGGAGAGACAACCCAGAGCTTTGTGCATGCCAGGTAAGTTCTCTACTACTGAGCTATGTCCCCAGGCCCTTGATTCTTATTTTTATTAAAGTGAAACATGCATATAATCTAACAAGTCAAACAGCAATCAAAAGCTCACAATGGTGTTATGCCCCCCACCTTAGGAACCCTGCATCTTTCCCTCCAAGCATCTAGTTTCAATTCATATCTGTTTCTTTCTGAATATATTTCCATGTTTATGCTCTTCTCTCTTGAAACAGTAATGACTGTTTATTTTAGCAGTGCTGAGCAGCATCCAGAGCCTTGTGCACTAGTCAAGTGCTCTACCACTGAGCTACATCCCCAGCCCTAACAATCTCTTCTCATTACCAACTTTTGGGTAAATCAACTTTTAGCATTTGCACTATTAGTACTGTATAGATATTGTTCTCTGACAAGCTACTAGTGTACTAATAATTACAGTTCCTTTTTTTGTTTGTGTGTATAACTTTTGATTTTTCCTAGAGTTAACAATGCCTTGCTTTAAAAAAAAAAATCAGCTTCCCTTCGTATCTACTGTTAAAATTTCTCATACCTTCCAAAAGCACTGTGGGCACAATTTTTCATGATGCCAAATGTATCATTGCTTTTGTTACTGTATGTTTGCCTTCTTGGGGCATCTCTCCCAGATCCCTCTGTCCTCCAGCTCCAGTCTGGACTGATACCTCTCCATGTCTGCTGCACAGATGTGGACCTGGAATTTCTCTTCACTATTATCCTGGGAATTCCCTCCATCTCTGCCTTGTGTTGAGTCTTTTGCTTCCTGGATTCCATCTCTTCTTTTTTCTTGGTTTATTGCTTTGTTTCAGTAGAGGCAAATTGTTTTGGAAACAGTACATCTGAAATTAAGATGACAGTTTTAGCACGAGAAGTTAAGCATGCACTTTGACAGTGAAATATTTGTGTCAAAGCTGTGGTTCTGTAGACTTTTGTGGGTGGTGCTTTCTCAGTTTAGTATGCATTACCTCCAGGGAAGCTGGGAGAGTGGCTCAGTGTTATGGTGAGTGTTTGGTTAGAAGGATGAAGGTAAGGGAACCACTGAGAATTCCTTATAGGAAAAGGAGAGCTGAGAGGAGAAGTCCAGAGAACAGATTACTTCCTGACCTAGGGGGACTTGGAACACAGAACACGTGGCTTTGGGACCATTACGGTGATGAACTGATTTGCAGGCCTCTTAGATCTAGCTCAAGAAGAAGCCAACATTACCCTGGCATGTGGAAAACTCAGTGCATAGAAAAGTGACACCCTTAGCAAGAACACTGACAATCATGACATTAGAGAAGCTCTTTCAGAACTCTAGGTATGACTCAGGAAGGCAGATAATTACCTGGGAAAGAAAAATGACCATATAGAAGGCCTTCTACTGTACTGTTAGGGTTGGTTTCAGTCCATGTGAAGTAGCTTTCTGGGAGATCACAGAAGTATTGGGACATGGAGAGGATTTTGCAAGATTTTGGAAATTAATAAGGTAAAGAAATATTTATTTATGGCAGTACTGGGGTTTGAACTCAGGACTTTGCACTTGCTAGGCAGGCATT